ATGAAGCTCCCGGCACACTGTTGCTTTGCTGATGTTGCTTTCAGATGCAGTTTGGAATCCTGAAGTCAGTGAGAGATGCAAGAATTGTGTTTTATGTTTAAAGCGGCACTGTCATGGCCGAATCCCGTTTTTTATTGACCCCCTAGTCGCCCCCAAATGCCCCTAAGCCCCCCCACATTGCCTATTTTTTTATTCTTTATTTTCTGCCCCGATCTTGATTCAGGGCGCCGCCATCTTTGTGTGGGTAGATGAAGTCCCTGTGGGACACGTCATCTGCCCACACTAGATAGACTGTGAGATTCCCGACAGACGAATGAATGAATGAATAGAAAAATCAGATGAACAAACTAACACTGTGCATCAGTGTTCGTTTGTTCGTGCAGTTTATTACAAGGAGGGAGCTACTGGCGCACAGCTATCTCTTTGTAATATGTAAAAAGATAGAAGCGGCAGGGAGCAGTGCTCCCCACCACTTCATAAGCCCCCCAGGTCCCCCCTCACTCTAAGGGGGTCAATATGGCCCCCATAATAGCATGAGGGAGATTAAAATCTCACCAATGCTATTATACCGCGAGTAGGGGCATGTCTACTAAACAGTGAGCAGCCAAAAAAAAACTACTATCCGGCACCCACCCCTGGGGGCCATAAATTACAATGGGAGGGACGGGGACCTACCTTAAGTTACTACCTTAAAGGACCACTATAGTGCCAGGAAAACATACTCGTTTTCCTGGCACTATAGTGCCCTGAGGGTGCCCCCACCCTCAGGGTCCCCCTCCCGCCCGGCTCTGGAAGGGGGAAAGGGGTAACCTTTTTCCAGCGCTGGGCGGAGAGCTCTCCTCCTCCGATCCTCCTGGGCTGAATGCGCACGCGCGGCAAGAGCTGCGCGCATTCAGCCGTCGCATAGGAAAGCATTTACAATGCTTTCCTATGGACGCTGCGTGCTCTCACTGTGAAAATCACAGTGAGAAGCACGCAAGCGCCTCTAGTGGCTGTCAATGAGACAGCCACTAGAGGATTAGGGGGAAGGCTTAACCCATTCATAAACATAGCAGTTTCTCTGAAACTGCTATGTTTATAAAAAATGGGTTAACCCTAGAAGGACCTGGCACCCAGACCACTTCATTAAGCTGAAGTGGTCTGGGTGCCTAGAGTGGTCCTTTAAGTTCTTTGGAATTGAAATCCATCCAATCACAGTGCTCTGTGTCATTTTACACAGCGTAGGAAAGTTCTTTGGAATTTTCCCATGCTGTGTAAAATGACAAACGAGCACTGTGATTGGATGGCTTGAAATGCTTTACTTAGCATTAGTAAATGTGGCTGAAAGACCAATTTAGGTCTTTCAGCCTTTTGGTAGATAACTCCCTGATACCGTGGGAATTAGGGAGTTATCTACTAAGCGGCTGCAAGATGCAGCCACAGCACGAGTAGGATCGGAGTTTCATTCATTCGAATGAAATTGCGATCCGAACAAAGTGCCGAATTGAGTTCTAAAACAAACGAACATACTGTTCTCATTCAGTTAGCACGCAATTCGCCAGTTTCGTCTAAAATGACAGGAAGCATCGTGGGAACACAGAGAAAAGGTAAGAATTATGGGAAAATTGCTCTGACCAGCGGAAATGAAACACACTTTGCTCCTCCGCTGGTCAGAGCTGGTCAAGCGGAGGAAACCTCCATAAGGCAAAGAGTCCCTACTTTGTCTTATGATTTTAAAGAAAACTAAAGAAGACAGGAAGAAAAGAACAGATCATGAGAGAGGGGGAGAAGAGGAAGAGATTGAGGAAAGGTAAGTTCGGCATGACAGCGCCGCTTTAAGCACTTCAACACTCGGTGCCTTAGTCTGAGTATGTGTGGACTACCCCTTTGTGGCTCTACTGATGTTGGTCATAGATGCTTCCACTTTACAGTCATAACACTTACAGTTTACCAGGGCTGATCTGTAGCATCCAGAAACTGCCAATGTTTGTCTATGGAACTTTTTTGGCTTCCTGCTAGATTGAATGCACCTGTTGGCAACAGATGAGTCTAAAATTCCTGATATAACATCAACTAGTAGGGTTTCTTCATGCTTTTGGCCATATAGTGTATACATGTGTGAAAATATGCCACTGTATGAATCCACCTGTTTGTTTATATACCAATAATAGCCTAACCATGATGATGCCATGCAGTGCAATAAACTCCTCAATGTTTCTTTAAGTGGGAAATAAGAGTATTTGATGTTTCAGTATTTGGATCATGTATTATTAAAGGACCACTAAAGTCACCCAGACCGCTTCATCTAAAGTGGTGTGGGTGCAGTCATCCTGTATATTTAGCCCTTAATAGTAAAATGTTTTGTTACTTTGAAGGGTTAAACACAACTCTAGGCTTCTGCTGCACTGACCAAGTAAAACTCACATGATGCAGCTGCTCTTTGGGAAGCTTTGGATTCAGTGCTTTCCTATGAGACGCATTGGACTGGCTGAGATCATCAACAAAATCAGCGTGGTAAAAATACCTTTTTGCTTGAAGGAGAAAGGGTCCGGGGACTTAAATACCGTATTTATCGGCGTATAACACGCACTTTTTCTCCCTGAAAATAGGGGAGAAATTGTGGGTGCGTGTTATACGCCGGCCCTTTAAATACTGCAGCCGCCTGAGCGCTCTGTCAAGAGCACTCAGGCGGGTGCAGTTGGTACTCACCTCCTCTGTAGCGTGGCCGAGCCGCTCTGCCGTCCGCGGTGGCCGGCCGGAGTGATAGGAAGGTGCACGCTCAGTGTGCACCTTCCTGTCAGTCCGACCGGGTACAGGAAAACAAACTCCTGTTCCGCGTAAGAAGAAGCAAAGGGGGGAGGGGGGTAAGAAGAGGGGGAGAGTAAGAAAGAGGGGGGGGGTAAGAAGAGGGGGGGGCTAAGAAGAGGGGGAGGGAGGTAAGAAGAGGGGGGAGTAAGAAAGGGGTAAGAGAGGGAGGGGGAAGTAAGAAGAGGGGGAGGGGGAGTAAGAAAGGGGGGTAAGAAGAGGGGGCGTAAGAAGGGGGTAAGAAGGGGAGGGGGAGTAAGAGGGGGAAGGGGAAAAGAAGTTCTTTATTTGAAATTTAAAGGACCACTCTAGGCACCCAGACCACTTCAGCTTTATGAAGTGGTCTGGGTGCCAGGTCCCTCTAGGATTAACCTTTTTTTTTTTATAAACATAGCAGTTTCAGAGAAACTGCTATGTTTATACTGAGGGTTAATCCAGCCTCCAGAGCCTCTAGTGGCTGTCTCTAGGGGCGCTTGCGTGCTTCTCACTGTGAAAATCACAGTGAGAGCACGCAAGCGTCCATAGGAAAGCATTGTAAATGCTTTCCTATGCGACCGGCTGAATGCGCGCGTGGCTCCTGCCGATGACGTCGCGATCAAGGAGGAGAGGAGGAGTACAGCTCCCCGCCCGGCGCTGGAGAAAGGTAAGTGTTTAACCCCTTCCTCTCTCCAGAGCCCGGCGGGAGGGGGTCCCTGAGGGTGGGGGCACCCTCAGGGCACTATAGTGCCAGGAAAACGAGTATGTTTTCCTGGCACTATAGTGGTCCTTTAAGTTTTTTTTCCCTGAAATTTCCCTCTTAAAATGAGGTGCGTGTTATACGCCGATAAATACGGTAGTAGTTTTTGCCCCTATAGTGTCAAAATACATGTTTGTGTTCCTGACGCTATAATGTTCCTTTAAGAAGATAAGAAGAGCATAAATCAGGGAACAAAAATGGTCTCCAAGAAGGTTGAATCAAATGGCATAATCACCAGTTTTGATTAAAATAAATAAATAAAGATGATTGCTCCTCTATTGTGCCTGAGAACACAAGCTATGTAGAGAGTCTTAATTTTTTTTATTCAATTCACAGGATGAGTGTGTAGATAGGATGAGTTTGGACTATCAGTGAACTTGATGGATGTGTGTGTGTGTGTGTGTGTATGTACATTTTCATAAGAATTTTTTTTTGGACATATTAAAATAAATATATCCACGGTAATCAAAGCTTCTGTTAAATCTTTGTCAGGGGATAGAAACTGCACAGGTAAATAACAAATTATGGCATCTTATCCATGTTATTTTTATATATTGCTGACATCAGGGGCGATACAAGTAAAAATATGCACATAATTAAACTTTTGTGTATATATTAGTGCTCCTTTAAATGTACTCTTTTATACAAGATTAACTTGTAAGTATTAATATCTTAAAAGATTTGACTGTCACTACAAAAGCCCCAAGTAATATTGAAGGGTCATTATTTAGGAGTCCGCTCATTTCAGGGTGTTTAGACATAATGTGTCGGGTATCTGAATCTGTCATTTGGAAAAGCATTGTGTTAGGGACTTTATTAAATTTGTGAGGCAGCTTTCATTTGCCAGTGTTCGCTTTGTAGTAAGGCGACTATTTTGTATAGCGTTAAAGTAAAGTTGAAAGGCATGTTTACCAACTGTGGCTTGCAAGTGTAGCTGGAATCAAGTTACAGATCTTCTAATCCAAAACTAATACACATCCTGATGCATGCAGTTCAGTTGCCTCAGAGTTTTTGACTCTTGCTCAATATAGATTGATCTATAATGACTGCCTAGCGATTACATTGTTAATGACCATTTATCTGACTGTGCATAAACAGTACAAGTTTTCAGTTTGACACAATTATCAAGGCCAAAGTTTATAAACATTCTTCCAAAGAGAATTTCACAATAACCATTCAGCAGCTTTGAATAATATTGTTTTACTCTGTGCTAGCTTGACCTTAAGTCATTGTTAAGTATGTTTGCATGAAATAAAAATCATATACACACAGAGCGTTGGGGGTAAGTGATCTCAGGCTTATTCACATGAATGGAATTCAAATGTAATATTCCAAAATACAGTGAGAAGTATTGTAAATTTTAGCCAAAGCTGTGCGTTATATGTTAAAGGGACACTAGTCACCAGAACAATTTCAGCTTATGGTATCTGTTCTGGTGAGTAGAATCAGTCCCTTCAGGCTTTTTGCAGTAAACACAAATGTTTTCATAGAAAAGGCAGTGTTTACATTACAGCCTAGGGATACCTCCACTGGCCACTCTCAGATGTCTACTAGAGGTTCTTCCTGGGGCAGTGCTGCACAGTGTACAGCACTGACATTCTGTGTCTCCACCCTCTGCATGGAGACACTGAACTTTCCTCATAGATATGCATTGATTCAATGCATCTTTATGAGGAAATGCTGATTGACCAGGGCTGTGTTTGACTTGTTCTGGCTCTGCCCCTGATCTGCCTCCTTGACAGTCTCACCCAATCCTATGTGAAAGCATTGTGATTGGCTCACAGAATCACTTGTGATGATATCAGGCATGCAGGTCAGAGGCAGAGCCAGCAGCAGCAGACTTGAATACAAGTAAGAATTTACTATATTTAAGGAGGCAAGGGAGGGGATGGGGGGTGGGGGGTGTGCAGAAGGGGCTAAATGGTGGTTTTAACACTGTAGGGTCAGGAATACATTTTTGTGTTCCTGATCCTATAGTGTTCCTTTAAAAAAAAAAAGTATTGTTCTGTGTGTATTCATGTGACTAAAGTGTAATATAGTGTGCAGGTTTTTGGGTTACACATGATTGCAATGATGCAAAATTAATTCACCATCTTCTTTGGAAAGTAATTCTTTAAATTCAATAACTGATAAAGGCTATTAAAGATTTGTAACCGGAGGCTGTCAGATGACATACTTGTATGGATAGAAAAGTCAGTGTGAAAGATACTGTATGTTATCTCAATACATTTGCCGCAATAACGTCAACGGGAATAAACCTCTCCCTTAAAACGTCGCAAATTATGGCTAAGCGCTACAAAGCAAATACTCCGCCTAGGTAATATACTACTGGCGTAACTGTGTGATTAACGATCAAACACTAAACTGTAACATGCATTATTATTGAACGGTCGAATGTTAGTATCAAACATCTATGTGGCACCTGTTTGAAACTTAATGTGAGTTCATTTTGATAATCCTTGTGACTTACTTCATCTGAAACGGTTCCCTTTAACGAAATCATATTGTTAAGTGTTTTTTTTTTTTAAAGTTTTGTTTTCTCAAACCTTTATCTTAATAACGCTAAAGAATGCCGCTTTCCCACTTCGGTGAGAGAGGAAGCCAGTTAAAACAGCCTGTTACTAGAGCTTTAAACCATAAACTGTTTAACACATGTATAACTCACTGTACTAATATATTACTGCTGCTCGGATTACTAATATGGAAAAAAATAAAGTCAGTGTGCTTCTGCCTGTATCATGGCTTTGTGTTGGACATTAAATGTCCACTCTAAGATTAATTATTTTGCTTTGATCAGATAAAATGAATACTCCCTTTTTATAGAAAGACCATGATTCAGGTTTGTGCTTTGAGCGGACATCATTGAAGGAGAATATGAGCTCAGCCAATCCATGCTCTCCCACTTGCTTTCTGTGAAATGATGAGGCTCTGTGTGAAATCACACAGGCACATACTCTCTGATTGCTCATAGTCTCACATTTACAAATCAGCTTATTCACTTGAAATAAAACAAGATTTATTTAAAGGGACACTGCAGGCACCCAGACCACTTCTGATCATTGGAGTGGTCTGGGTGCCAACTTCCATTATCCTTAAACCCGCAAGTGTAATCATTGCAGTTTTTATAAACTGCAATAATTACCTTGCAGGGTTAAGTCCTCCTCTAGTGGCTATCAGACAGTCACTAGAGGGACTTCCGGGTTCTTAAAATATGAAAAGTGTTTTAAACGACGCTGGATGTCCTCGTGCTATGCATGAGGACCTCCAGCGTCGCCGGAATCCCAATAGGAAAGCATTGAATAATGCTTTACTATGGGGAGGTCTAATGCGGGCACACAGCCTTTGCCGCGCATTAGGTGTCCCCCACCAACTGACATCGGCGCTGGATTCATATAAGTCACTGATGGGGTTTTAACCCCTTCAGCAACATGGGATGGGGCACTACAGGATTCTGCAGTGCCAGGAAAATGGGTTTGTTTTCCTGGCACTTGAAAGTCCCTTTAAGCAACCGACTAAAAGCTGTTCAATCTCTTGCGTTTGCCTTCTCTCATTCAAGTGAATGAGATATGTTGTGCATTTGCACACAGCTGATTTCTTTAGAATAAGGAAGACTGTGAATAGAGTATCTGAAAAACATAGCTGACCAAGATCCAGCCAGGGGGGATATGATAGAAACATTTAAATACATAAAGGGAATCAACACAGTAAAGGAGGAGACTATATTTAAAAGAAGAAAAACTACCACAAGAGGACATAGTATTAAATTAGAGGGGGAAATGTTTAAAAATATCAGGAAGTATTATTTTACTGAGTGGGTAGTTTGAATATATTGGGCACAGGGCATCATCAAAGTTCAAAGAACATTTTACCTTCTCTCTTGCTTAGTGGGATGCTTATGTTTGTTTTGGGATATGTGATTCAACTTGTTATGGTAGTTGTGTTTTTTACAAATGGATTTTGTCAGTTTGAAAAGAAAATGAAATCAGCAACTATTTATCTTTTTGCTTGCTGATTAAGCACATAATCTAAATAAATCACATTTTGCTCATGTGGCAAGGTGTAACCTTGAATACTTTGAACTATAAGATTAGTGTTTCCCTGTGTAAAACTACTGATACCTCTGTTACTGGATTTGCAACAGCCTTTTTCTGTCTCTTTTCCAATTTCCTTTCACTTCCAAGTCATTTTATGGTGATTTGGTGATTTTATTTGGGGGAGTTGTGAAAATAGGCCAGACTCCTTAATGGGACATTATCGCGTTAGGAATGCAAACCTTTATTCCTAATGCAATAGTGCCCCTGTCCCTACTTGTATTAAAGGAGCACTATAGGTCCAGGACAACAAACTTGTTTTCCTGGCACTATAGGGTCATTAGGTCCTCCCCACGCTCAGGGCCCCCCTCCTGCTGGGCTGAAGGGGTTAAAACCCCTTCAGCCACTTGCCTTTCTCCACCGCTAGGCTCCCTCTGTGCTGGTGAACTCTCCACCCCCTGCCGACGTCAGATCCGAGTGCGCGGCAAGAGCATTCAAACCGCCCATGGGAAAGCATTACTCAATGTGTGTGATTTTCACAGTGAGAATCGCGGAAGCGCCTCTAGCGGCTGTCAGTGAGACAGCCACTAGAGGCTGGATTAACCCTCAGTTTCTCTGAAACTATGTTTTCTGCTGCAGGGTTAAAACTAGAGGGACCTGGTACCCAGACCACTTCATTGAGCTGAAGTGGTCTGCGTGCCTATACTCATCCTTTAAGGTTTCACACAATACTTTTTTCCAGTGCTAAGGCTCACTGCTTATCTACCCGCCTCCTATGACTTCACAGAAGAGGCATGGCGTTCCTCTGCATTGGTCCAATCAAAGAATGAAAGCTTTCCTACTGGTGAAAGCTTTGATTCTAAGGCATTCCTACGTGGGAGAGCTTTCCTCTCCTAAGTGCTGCCATTGATATGGCCTGGAAATAAATAAATAAATATATATATATACACACACTCTCTCTCTCTCTCTCATATCATGGTTGAACATTTGAATATGTCTTTAAAATTTTATATCGTTACTCTTTGACTCTGAGAGAACTCTGCAAAAATGAATTTATATGTTAATTTGGACTTTACATTTTCTAAAAATAGGAATCTTGCTTAACCTGTATGGGGACTGGTTTAATATAAATAAACTGAATTATACATATCTTTTGACACAGGTAACGCCTAAAACAATGGCAAGTAACACGCAGCTGTGTATAAGACGTTGGACTACAAAACATGTGGCTAAATGGCTTCGAGAGGAAGGATTCTGTGACTATGTGGATAGCCTGTGCATTAAACATCGTTTAGATGGCACAGCTTTATTGGCTCTGACAGAATACGACTTGCGGTCTCCACCATTGGAGATCAAGGTTCTGGGAGACATCAAGCGTCTTATGTTATCTATCCGTAAGCTGCAGAAACAGCATGCCAGCGTTCTGGAGGAGTTAGGACTGAATAGCGAATTATCCACAGGAACAGTCGCCATAAGCTCCCAACCTTGCACGGACTGGATGTGCAATGGTGAGTTGTCTCGGGACTACAATGGGCACGCAACAGACTCTAGCATGGATCAGCATCAGTACTCTAACGGGAAGCAGAAGCACCCACTGAAAAGAATGGACCCAGAGTACTGGAAAACTGCCATCAGCTGTGTCTATGTCTTTATAGTGTTTGGGTTTACCTCCTTTGTCATGGTTATTGTTCATGAACGTGTCCCTGACATGCAAACTTATCCACCTCTTCCAGACATTTTCCTAGACAGGTGAGTGACCATTCTGAAAAATAACTGGTATTTTTTATTGTTAATGTCTTTGATTTATATTACCGCCATCATCTTATGAAACACAAGCATGATAAACTAATCTAACATATACAGTTTTATATACTCTTGTCAATGCATGGAAATGGATGTCCTGTAGAATCCACATGTTGAAGGAGGAACTATAAAAAATGCATACCAAAGGAGCACTGTCTTCATCATTTGACTTCCCTTTTCCTGTAGCATATGAATTCTACATACTCATAGGTACTGTTTTTTACGTAAATCTTGAGCTTGAAGTATAGATGTCAATGACCTGATGTTGAACCAGATTACCATATCTAGTATATGAATACTGAGCATCATGTACATGTACTGTAACCAGTGTATACCATCATCATTGATTTTTATTTTTTTTGTCCCCCCCCCTTTTCTTAATAATAAACATTCTTTTGTAACATGTAAAATATAGCTATTGTTTTCTGATAATGCTACATTATTCTAGTAGTTTACTTGTGTCCAGTTACCAGATTATGTTTCTGTATAAGTAATGGATAAGTCACTTGCTCCACCAAACCTCTTCCCAGACGTTTGTGAACTGGAGTTACAGAAATTTATATGGCTCTTTGCCCTATTTTATTCAGGCTACAGTGATTGTTATGCTACCAGAAGCTGATGCATGATGGGAACTTAATACTGCTATTGAAGGGCTGTGTGCACATCAGCAGAACTGCACTGTTGCACTCGATCTTTCAGGAAGATGAAATTAGTAATGGTGTCACATATATATATTTTAGATGCTTTCTAACTTGTGTAACGTTGGTATGTTTCAAATATTGCTTGACTACATCTATCATCTCCTATGACCTATTGTTTAGCCTATTACAGGATTATGGTAATTGTATACCAGGTTTGGGTTGTATATAATCCTGGTGTAGTTCATCAAACACTGTGTGTTTGTGTCTTTGTATGTGTATGTAGATAATAGAATATTGCAGGATATTGTACATTATTTCTTAAAGGGACCCTCCACTGCCCAAATACAAAATAAATAAAGATCACTGTTTAGTAGAAACACCGCAAACAAAAACGTTTTTTTTTCATTGGGGTATATCTAAAAATAGCTTGCGAAACCTGTATTTCTCTTGTCTGCTGCCCTTGCAAACCCTCCCAGACTTTCTGTGGCTGTCCAATCACAGACTTCCCAATACAGGTGCTCTGTGCAATTGCTGCCTCTTGAGTTTAGCTCTGCTGAGCTAACTGAACCAGGAAGTAACAGGAGCTGTTCTCTGCTTGAAAGCCCCAAGGAGTGTAACTAGATAATTCAGTCTAGACTGTCCTGGTTAAGCTTTAGTTGGGATAATGATATTTTACTTTCAATCCTGTCACTGTAAGAGTATTTTTTTCATATTTTATTTGATATGTTTTAAGAACTTAATTTTTTTCCCATTTTTCATTTACATATTTTTAGTGTGTGTGTGTATGTGTGTATATATATATATATATATATATATATATATATATATATATATATATATATATATATATATATATATATATATATATATATATAAAAATGCAGTTCTTACATTAAATAGCCTGCAGGGACATCCTATACATATCAGAATAACAGTAGTTATTCTAGTGACTATAGTGTCCCTTTAATTAAATGGAAACTATTGGTTAAAATTAAAAGATCTGCTCCCTTTTTGCCCTGCATTTAGCTCCTTTTTAGTGGTGAACATTGTCCAGTCACATTCTTCTCATAGAAATATTGAGGACAAATGTTGGGCTCATAGCTTCACACTGACATGGGTGGAGTTTTTGTGATTGTAGGGATTTCTATAAAAAAATGCATAGTTTAAGACAAGTAATAGGTCAAGTCCATTTTTAGAAGTATTCATTTGTATGTGTTCATTATTGTGCTGTTACCATTGTGATCTAAAATTCCCAGATTTTACTATTAACATGATGTAAAGTCATGATTTTATTAAAGGGACACTGTAAGCACCCAGACAACTTCAGCTCATTTAATTAGTTTGAATGCTGCGTGCCTGTCCTACTTAGTTCTGCAATATAAAACATTGCAGTTTTAGAGACAGCCACTAGAGGTGCTTTTAGGAGTTTACCGGACGCCAGGTCACCTAAGCAAAACTGGATGTCCTCGCGCTTGGCATGAGGACAACCTGCGTCCGTGAAATTCCTATAGGAAAGCTTTAATTCAATACTTTCCTATGGGGAGGGCCTAATGCCCTTGCGACACTCGCCGCAATGCACATTAGGTCCCCTGTTGGATGATGTCAGAGGAGGCAGAGCACAGTGCTGGAATCAGGTAAGTGATTAAAGGGTTTTTATACCTTTTATTGGTCGCTAGGAGCATGAGGGAGGGGGGAACCAGAGGGCACTATAGTGTTAGAAATAAAACTTTGTATTCCTAACTTCATAAAATCCCTTTAAAGACATGAAGGTGAGTATTATTCCTTTCCTCTAGTTCAAGGGTGCCCAAAAGGTAGATGTAACGGAGCTCCTTGTACTCCGACCGAGTATCCTCCGTTGAAGGATGCTCCTAGCGCTTCCTGAGGACTCCAAGCAGTGCAGCAGACACCACAACCACCGCAGACTCCACAACCGCCGTAGCTTAACTGAAGTCTCGCCGTCTTCCTTCCACCCTGTATGAACCTCCAGCATCCAGGACCGTGTGGGGAAGACCTCTCCTACAGGAGAGCGTAACAGGAACAGCTCTTAAAAGAGCTAAGTGATTAAAAGCTCAAGCAAGTATGCAGAGCATAGCAATCCCCAGTGTGATATAGCAGTTCCCTCCAATAACGAGACAAGGCTACGTATTGAGGGTCAAGAAGATCTGTTTCCTTGGCACAAAAGGGCCTTCTTTAATGCAGGTTTAACACATACAGGACCGTCCACAGGGGTTTACAGAACAACCAATAAACACGTAGTATACAGTACAAGCACTCCCATACATCTCCTCCCCTCTGCCTGGGAGATAATTGAGTTTCTTACTGTATCTACTCAATTATCTCCAAGCTGAAAAATCATACTTTTTATACATTTTTATAACTCCCTGATTTTACATCACATACGAATAAAACTTATATTTCTGTGATCAGCATAACTTGGGGAGCAACATGGGGGTGGGGGGGGGCTAAGGGCTCTTTTACGGTGGTTCGAATTGCGCACCATCAATGATAGGTGTATAACAGTCCTTTTTTGGAGAAGTGTTTTTTTTTGTTTTAGACAAGAACTTACGGGTGGACTCGACAAATCCCAGGCACTGGGTCACCACGGCGACCAGAAATTGAGTCAGTTCAGGCCTGGAGGTGGCCGGCTGCCTGAGAGCTGAGGCAGGCAGTCGGCTCATGTACGGCTAAGGTAGTACGGTAGACAAACTTGCAGGCGGCTCGAGGGGAGGGAGGCAGGTGGCTGTCTTGAGTGCGGCTGCGGCGGCGAGGGAGTTGTCATCTCCCTGCTGTGCATGCCCTCCAGTGATGCTGATAGCCAGGTTATCACGTCAGTCTGGCCCCACATCACTAAACGGAGATGGGAGCAGAACAGGGAGATGACCACAGCCCCACTGGGCGCTAGGGAAAGCTGATCCACTCCAGCTCTCCCAAAGGTAGGGAGGGTGGATGGATTTAAATGAAAATAAAACAAGTAATTTAGTCGCTGTCTGGTAGAGTTAACCCTCAAAGGTAATTATTGCAGTTTATTAAAAACTGCAGTAATTATCTTTGCAGGGTTAAGGGACCTGTGATTATGCACCTAGACCACTTCAGTGAGGTGAAGTGGTCTGGTTGCCTATAGTGTCCCTTTAAGAATTGTATTTTTGACGTTGAAAAACCTGGTTCCGAACTTTTTTAGCTGGCTTCTAGATTCCAAGCAAATTTGTCAAGCCCTTCCCTACAGCCTGTATGTTCAGGTCTTTGATCATGAGGTGCTACGGCCTTCTGAAAGGCCCGAGGAACTGATCTCTGGGCCTGTAAAAAGTCTTAGGTGCACGTTTGGGAAAGAGAATATTACATGACAGTCATGGATCTGGACATAAGAGCCGAGCATAGCCTGTAGCTCATCAAAATTAATCTTCATTCCCTGGGACTGTAGGGGAAGTCCCTAAGGGAATCCTTAGGATGGCGTGAGACCCAGAAGAGTCCTCTCCTGATCATACTGAATATTAACAGTAGCAGTAGGAAAAGTAAATGGAAACTATACTACAAACTTAGAAGACCCAAGAGTTGACTAGCCCATTGGGTCCAGAGAAACTAGTGGAAATAGGAGCCTCCATATCTTTAATAAAATTTGTGTCCCTAGGCACACCCAGCATGTTAGGAGTTGCAGTCCAGCAGGGACAGGCAGCTTCATTCACTCAATTTAATGGGACAACATTTATGTTTGTGTTTTTCCCCCTATTTTTT